CGGCCGATTTCATGCGATAAATGACCGATCGACGCGCGGTATTCCAGAAGAAGACGGTCGATTGGATGGAGCGATGGAACCGCGAGGAAAATCGGTAATCGAGCACGAAGCGCGTCGACCTTAAAATTACGGTGCTACGTAGCAGCCGCACCCGGCGAGATACGCAGAGCGAACGTTATCCTCCTCCCCACCATAATTCGTAAACAGTTTCTTTCCTTTCACCGAGAATCGAATGGCTCCGCGGAGTCGGCCGAAGCCTCGGGATACGATGTACCGCGCGAGATAAACCAGAGAACTTTTTCATCGCAAAACGCGTTCCTGTCTCCTTCTCGTTCTCGTTCGACGGACCAGATTCTCGATCACGATTCCTGCGACAAGCGTCGAAATTCATCGGCGATCGTGACTCGCGCCGAGTTTCACGACGTGACGCACGCGATTCCACCATCGAGGATGGTATGAAAGAATCACATCGTAGAGAGTAACGCGAAAAGGCTAGGAAGAGTCACGTTGGATCGCCTTTACGATCGCGATTTGTGCGTCGATTCCGTTGTGCGTGCATCGCATTCGACGAGTAACGAAATCGAAAGAGAGGTTAGACGAAAGGCGAACGCGTTCGATTTCCTCTCTGTATTCGCAGCATTGAACGGCCATGGAATAGCGATCGAGACGAACGATGTGGCTGCGAGAACGAGTACTATGTTGAAGTGGACTTGTTACGCGGCTCTGTCGAAGAATCGCGCATCCCGGCCGACTTCGTTGGACGAACGAGAGAAGAGGACGGACTGCGGGAATGCGTCGTCGCGATATTTGCGAATAGGAAAAGGTTGTTCCTGTCGGTCGGAGGACGTAGAAATATTGCGAGAATCCTCGACGAAAAAGAGCCTGGGGGTGAGAAATATATTCGAATCACGTTCTTTTGTTTGGGAATCGATCGCACGTTTACAGCTCGCGATTGCCTTTAATCGAGGCCCCGAGTCTCTTTCGCGATCGAACTCGGTCGAGCTTCGGCTCTCCTGTCGATAGGACTTTGGTCGCTCGTCTTTTCGCGCGTGGTATCGGCGCGATATCGTATAAGCGACGATCTTGGCAGCGGTTTCGACTCGAGCCAACTCTCGCGTCACGATTGGTAACCGGCACGTTCAACTGGCTGTGCAGGGCTCCGATCCTAGGGTGGCCACTTGCCGAGGAAAATTGCAGAACAAACGAAGCAAACTGAATCAGGAGATCAACAAGGAGCTTCGATTGCGAGCCGGCGCGGAAAACCTCTTCAAGTAACTGCCTTTCTCCTTGTACGACTCGTAGAATGCGCGTCGTTCGCACTCACGTGTACGTTTTACGTTTCAGGGCCACGACCAACAGAAAGCTGCGAGAGACCGTTGCGCTGGAATTGAGTTTCGTCAATTCGAACTTGCAGTTGCTAAAGGAACAGCTTGCCGAGTTGAACAGCTCGGTCGAACTTTATCAGAATGTCGACAGGTCGGTGAGATTGTCGTTTCTCCGTGCGATTTCAACGTTAAACGTAAGAACCTAAGACGCCGCTCTAAGCAACCAGCCTGACTCTCTGTGTTTTTCTGCCTTTAGCGAGGAACCGGCAATGCCGATGATACCGTTGGGACTGAAGGAAACCAAAGATATCGATTTTCGGGATCCGTTCAAGGTGAGCGCCGCCTAACGCGAGAACTGGCTTTCATTCGAGCGGCGGTATTTCCGAGTCGTCGTCGCTGCAAACTTTTTCGTCTTTCGGCTTCCAACGATTTTCCTTTTGCCCGTCGACCAACGGCTCAGCGACGATTCTCGAAAAGTCCAAGTCGCTCGCTCGCGACGGACCTATCTCCAAGTACTCGCGTACGCTTGTCGTCGATCGCCGTTCGATCGTCGTTCTACGTCGGTCGGGTTCTTCTTCGATCGCCTGCTTATACGAAGGAAGAATCGTAGGTAACGGATTCAAGCGCGGCATCGTTACCACTAATCTGCCGTTCGTCGTGTTTCTTCGAGCCGTGCTATCCTTCACCGATACTTCGCACGGCAGAGTCAGCTGCAGTACCTTTCCCTTGATCGTGACGCGCACGTACTCGGGATGCACGTCCACGTCGACGTGGCAAGTGTCTAAATATCTGAAATCATAGAGTCGATCTCGTATTCGGGTCGAGTCCGCTGATCGATCGTCTCGTCCAATCTTGGATACGTACTTGTACAGAGCCACCTCCAAGACGACGCGGTCGCTGTACTGCTCCTCGTTCAATTTAAACGGCACTTTCGGCTGATTCATGTTGTACGGTTTACCCTGCGGATCGAACAGCTTCAACCTGTAGGTAGTTCGCGTTTCGACGCTCCGATCTTTCTGCCGGTTTCTTCGCTTCTCTTTTCGCATAAACCGTTCCGCAATAGCGACGCGTTCCTCCGGCGTGTGACGACTGGTTCGATTCCAAAACGATTCGTCCTCTTCCTCGTCGTCGTCCTCCTCCTTCTGCTCCTCCTCTTCCTCCTCGTTTACTTCTTTATCCGCTCGCCCCTTCTTCTCTTGCTCGTGGCGATGTTCCTCCGCGTCCACGACTTTCTACGGATAATAGACGTAACGCGATCAAATTCTTGGCCGAAGAATTCTTGGCAGAGCGCGAAAAGGAAAACTCGCTTACTCGATTTGCTCGTGACTTGGCAGTTTGTTCGCGATAATCGAGCAATTCCGCTTCCCGTATTTTCTTGTATCTCGCGCAACTTCGTACGATCTCCCCTTCGATCTCGGCGTAACGTTGCAACGCTCTTATCCGTTCGGATCTGTCGATTGGCGTACCATCTAGCTCCTTCAATCGCGTTAGAGTCGCGATAGAGTATTCCCTGTACCCTTCGTAATCCGCGCACGGATTTCCTACGAGGAACAGCTGCTCCAAGCGTTCGTTGTACCTGTGACACGTTGCGCGCGTAACGATCAACGTAACAATTTCGCCGATCGAACGGCTATATGTATAACGAATATGTATAACAAATGTACCTTAACGTTTTGATGCCACGAAGATCACCGATAAAGTTCACCGTTAGATCCAACTTTTTCAAGCTCTCGAGCCCTTGCAAATTTTCGATCGTCTCTATGTTGTTCAGCGCTAAATTCAAGTACTCTAACCTCTTCAACTTGCTCAAATTCTCGATCTTCGATATCAGATTGTTCTGAAGCAAGAGAATTTTCAAATGTTTGCACGTTCGGTCGATCAGTTCGATCTTCTCGATGTTCTCTTGATGCAACGCGATCTCCTCGAGCGTCGAAATCTCGCCCTCGTTGTGCTCCGAACGCTTTCGTAATAAATCGAGCGTGATTCTCGACATTTTGTTGCGCGCGGATCCGCCGACGCAAACTCTTCGACGCGGTCGCTAAGCGGCGCGTATCGACGTAACGCGCTCGATTGTCTCTTCCCGTCCTTTTCGCTCTCTTTCGCTCTCTTTCGCTCTCTTTCGCTCTTTCACCGTTTTATTCAACTGTCGTTCGAACGTTGCCTCGCAGGACTTTATCCTCGAACACTACAGCGAAGACGGAACGAATTACGAGGAGGCGATCGCGGATCTGATGGAAACCAGACAGGTGAGTTACGAGCAAGATCGTACGATTACGACGCAACGTAAGTCCAAGATAATCAGATCTTCTTGCCGTTGTTCGAAGGCGACGCGGACGCCGACCAGGGACGCGGCAGGCATCGCGTTGTTGCTACGCTACTACAATCAACTGTACTTCGTCGAGCGAAGATTCTTCCCTCCCGATCGAAGTCTGGGCATCTATTTCGAATGGTTCGACTCGTTGACAGGGGTTCCCAGTTGCCAACGAACCGTCGCGTTCGAGAAAGCTTCGATTTTGTTCAACGCAGCCGCTCTGTACACTCAATTGGCTGCGAAGCAGGATCGTCTGTCCACGCGAGGCTTGGACCAGGCGATCGACGCGTTCCTGCGAGCCGCCGGTACCTTTCGTTACATACACGAAAACTTTACCAACGCACCGAGTATGGATCTTGGGCCGGACATGCTCGAGATGCTCGTTCAACTGATGCTGGTAACGACGCGTTCGTAGCCGTAGCACGCGCTTCGAATTCGCCGCAAACCGAACGATTACGATCGAAGGAGAGCGGCGTGTCCGGGTGGGGAAACACGGTCGGAGCACGGTCTGACGCTCGTCTCGTTCTTCTCTCGTTTCAGGCTCAGGCGAGGGAATGTTTGTTCGAAAAATTGGAACTTCAATCGAAGGACGGCAGGAACATCGACGTTTCGTTGGACCTAGCGCAAGAAGCGTCACAGGTAGCGGCCGACAAAATTTTACGTACGCGTAAATCTAATACGCCCGTATTTCGCTTAGATCCCGCGAACCATTTTACCCAATGGCGTACGATCGTCGATTGCCTAGGTTGCGGCCGTCTACAGCGATGTCCACGGGTTGATCTCGCGCGAACCGGTCCGCGACTACGTACCGGAAACCTGGATATCGTTGATCTTGGTAAAACGGGAACACCACCTGGCTCTCGCGCACAAGCACCTCGCACTTGGATTGTTCGATAGAGCGATTACCGAATGGCGAGCTGAAACTAAACTCGCGCTCGAACACGTGCAAAGGAGCGACGGAAAGACGCAGCTCGACGTGATCGTGCCACGGGACGATAACGAAAGGAAGCTACTGGGTGCGTAGGCGATCGTTACCCGATCCGAGATCTCGATTTCCGTTCCGTTCGTATTTTACCTCTGTCGCTGTTTCGCTATTTCAGCGAAAGCGCATCTCAGGGAAGCTTTGGTCCTGCACGAGGAAAGTCAGAGGCTGCAAAGAATGTGCAGAGACTTGAAAGCGAAACAGGCGCTTGCCAAAGTTCTGAAGAGAGTACAAGAATCGACGGTAGAGGATTACAATGGCATCGGGGACGAGGATGACTTTCGAGGATTGTTGGATCCTCCGGATATCATAGGTAACACGCGCGGGTTCTTTCGTCTTCGTTCTTAGACCTTAGATTCTCGACGGTCCGGTGCGTCTGTGATGAAACTGCGTATCGTTTTCCCTGACGTAGCATCCACCAAGTTCCAATTGAGCATCACCCATCCGGATTTCGGACAGCACGGAGTGGAAGATCTTTTCAGATCGTTGGGTCCGGTCGCTATATTTTCAGCTAAAAGACATTGGACCGCGCCACGATTGATACAGCTTCAACGAGGACCCGACGGCGAAGGGTTCGGCTTCAGTGTACGGGGTGATGCTCCTGTGATAATAGCTGCGGTCGATCACAATTCGTTGGCCGACGTACGTATAAATGCGGGTCTCGCAAGAAATATTTATACTTGTTATAACGAGCGGTTTTGTTTCTTCAGTTGGGCGGCATGAAGGAAGGCGATTTTATAGTAGGAATCGGCGATAAAGATGTCAAGTGGTCGTCCCACGAACAAGTGGTTCGGCTGATTAAGCAATCCGGTGATTTTATAAACTTAAAACTGGTTACGCCGATGGACAGAAATTATTTAAAGGTAAACGCAAACGCGGTCTCGTCGACATTGACCTACGGAAACGGCCTACGATAATAACTTGTGCTACCGTTTAACGACTTGTGCTACCGTTTCTAGAAACCTGGTAAGGTTAACCAGCAGGACAAGGGAAGCGTTTCGGCAAGCAGCTCTTCCGGCATTTCCTCGGGTCAACCGAGTCC